ATGGATTAGATGAAATTAAAAGAAACTTACGATTAATAGAAATCCAATATTCGAATCCAATGACAAAGCTAAATCCGAAGTAGAGAAAAGGAGTTTTCAATCTCCAAATCAAATCCAAAGTGCAAACGTATCAAAAGGAATGAGTTTCTAGAGAGAAAAAATGTAAAAATAGAGTCTGGAAGTTCAATTATGAACCCTAGGATCAAAATATGGTCTAAAAATCCCGTCCACAAAATTCACGCCGGTAATCTCGCGAGTCGCGACTCGTGCTAGCATACTACACCTTCAGGCTATGTTTTTCTCGCGAGTCGCGACTTTGGTCTCACGAGTCGCGACTTTTCTCTCGCGAGCCGCGACTTTGGATTGCACTGCGCAATTTTACGTTTCGGGCTCGTTTGGGCTAGTCCGAACTCGGAATTGAGTTCTGTTTTTTGCTATGCGTCACCAACGAACTCCTCCATTAAAATATGCATTCGAAACAAAATTTTGCTGAAGAGAAGATTCACCTGAAGCTCCCGACCTACACACCAAAAACGACAAAACACGAAGAAAATCGGGAAAACAAACGAAATAACACCTAAAGACTCAAAATCAAGAAAAACACATAATAAAACACGAAACGGACTAAAAACTAAAGAAACGACCTAAAACGGGAGAAAGAGAAAGATAAAATAAACACAAAAAATGCAACAAAAATGAGACAAACAGTCACCCATATGAGCGCTAAGCACAATCCTCCAGAAGATGAACTTCAAACCTTCACCCTTGAAGCTTTTCTTCCAGTTCATATACACATGCCGAGCACAATTCCTATGCTCAGCATGAGGTACCAAATCACTCAATGCATTTAAAAGACCCTGTAACAATGACAACTAATTAAGTTTAAATTTAATTTACATATAGAAAACAGAAGTAAACATTATAGAAAAAGAATAACTTACTTTCTGCTAGTCTGATATAAATGTGTATCCCAAACCATCTCTTATCCCCAGCTTTGAAAACAAAATCATCAAGAACCACCTCCAACATTCCTCATTTTCAGTTTCTACAACAGCCCAAGCCACAGGATAAATTTGATTATTGCCATCCTTTGCTGTGGCACATAATAATGCTCCTCCAAGGAATGTTTGTAAGAAGCAGCCATCAAGACCCAAAATTGGCCTACACCCAGTCAAAAAACCTATTTTCAGTGCACTAAACCCTACATAGAAGGCCCTAAATGTAGAATGATCACCCAAAAGAAACTCAAACTTTCCTTCTCTGCAACCCTCTGCAACTCCAACATGTAACTCCTCAAAGTAGCATAATGCTCTGACACAGAACCTCTAAGCATCTCCATTACTGTCCACTTTGCTCTGTAAAGCTTCCATTTGCTAGGTTCAATGGCATATTTGTCAGAAATTACATCTACCAGTTGAGCAATTGTCATGTTAGGATTTTTTCTAAATTTTTCCAATAACTCTTCAGCAATCCAGCCAGCTGTTACTTGCCTTGTGTGGACATTTCTGTGGCATTTGTGTTCCTTGTGGAGTTGCTTTACAGCAACAGTACCATCTCTTGTAACTGCACTTGCATATAATCTCCAAGGACACCCATCTTCACATCTTACCTCTAACTGCCTTTTATTAGTTCTCATATTTTGGATATTTCTACCTTGAACAATGGCCACCTTTCTCACAGGTCTCTTGCATTGGTCAATACTCTCAAATCTCATACCAAGCTCAAACTGAAGAGCATTATGATCACACCTAGGATCATAAATTACCCTCAGCTTCCTTTTAATGCAATTTTCCTCATCATCCATCTCCATTTCACTACCTGACTCCTCAGATATAAGAGCATGTTGTAGCACTTCACACCCATCCAAGTCCATTTGAGGCAGACAATCTGGGAATGCATTGTTTGCTCCACCATCTTCTTCAACCATCTTGTTTTTACATTTCCTCAAATTTTGTCTGGCCTGAAGGTATTCATCATCATCAGAAGCATGTTCCTCATCAGTCAGATCATCATCTGATGAGCTAACACCCATTGGGAAATACTCTTCATCATCACTATTCTCGTCAGAGCACATAGCCACATCTGTTAGCACTCCACCTCCAACTGCTTTATCTCCATCATTTGCATCATCATCATCATCATCATCATCATCTATATTTGCATCAGAATCTGGGTGTTCATCTCCAGTTTCATTATCTCCAACATTCACATCACCATCACCATCTGCCAATCTGTTTCCAGAGTTACTCCCTTCATATGCATTATGAACAACATTAACACCATCACCATCATCCTTATTAGGGTTACTGGCAGCAACATAAACCTGTATTACAGATCTAAGCTTATGGCCAGTGTTGATCATTTCCATAACACCACTGTCATCCACTATCTCTTTCATACCAGCATATCCCAGCTTCCCTGGTTCTTGATACATAATTTTATCAAACTCCTTAACCCCCAGCTTCTCTACTTCTTCTACCAAATCAAAGTATCCAAACCTATCAGTGTCTAAGTCATACACAGACTTCAAATTCCCACCAAAGTATTTAGTTGAATCTTCAATCTTGATAAATGTATCACCATAGTTGAAGAAAAGGAAAATTTTTTCACTGCAATCAAACATAGGGATATAATAAATTCCATATCATAGACATAACTCATAAATAAATTCAGTTTTAAATAAAACTTCAAATAACTAAAAATCCCTAAAATGAAAAAACCCTAATTTTGTGATAACCCTAGTTGCAATACAACCCTAATTTCGTATTAACCCTAATATTAATTAAAAAATCATGAATTGATCACATGGAAACTAGATTTCACACAAAACCCTAATATAAAATATATGAAGATTCGCCATATGAGATTAAAGAAATCGTAATTTGGGGCGGACATATGAGATTAAAGAAATCAAAATTTGGATCTACCTGTTTTTTCCCATTGCCGATGCACGAAAATAGCGAACAACTGGCGGCAATTCCTTCTTCATGAATCGCGGCAATTACCAAATCATCTGGAAAAAAATTGAAACAGTCTTTGTATCTGATGAATCGTGGAGACTTGAAACGGTGTTCTTCCCTAATTTTACAGAGGAAATTGTGATGAGAAAATCGTCAATTTTGGGCGATTAGGGTTTAAAATGGAGAAGCAATGAATTTTCTGCGTTTTTATTTGAGTGTGTGTGACACTGTGGAATCCTCGTCAGCGAAGCCTGAGGACACGTGAGACGGCCTGCCGGACACGTAGGCACGAAACTCGCTGCCGATCAACTTTGGGTTCGGGTTGCAAAAGTTAAAAAAAGTTGCGATTTGTTTGCAATTACCTTATGGTTGAGCTTAAAATGCAAAAAGCTTAAAGGTCGTGCTTTTATTTGCAATTAAGCCTTTTATTTAAAATAATTTTAAATGTAACAATATTTAGAGAATCGTATCGTTCCTACCAGTCCAACCGATTGGTTTTGACGGAGTCGACAACAAATATTTTATTCAAGCGAACTAGACTGGTTATAAATCGGTTCTCGGTCCATCCGGTCGGACTGTGTCCAATCTAATTTAATTTAAAAACAATGGGTAAATCATGACTAATGTTATTTATATATTTAATTTATAATAGAATCGTAATATTGTTTTCCCGTGCATCGCACGGGCCACACACTAGTATTATTTTGTTCAATGAATATATTTTTTGTTAAGTAATGTAATATTTAATTTCTTTTTCAAAACGATAGAGATATTATATATATATATATAAATGTGCAAAAAGACAGTCACCAGCTGAATACAACCAGCTAATAGCTAAAAAAACTGGGAGAACAGGTCAAAAGACCGCCTAGAACCGAACCCAACAGTATAATACTCTAAAAACCCAAAAAAAAAACACGACGACTCTAAAGGCTCCCACGAGGAGAAAGAAAAAAGAAAAAGAAACGACCCCAACAGGGGCAATGCCCGAGTATACGATCGCAAAAGGATAATAAGGTCACACTCGGGCTAACCGAGGCCAACGGCCCAAACCTAAGACACAAATACTAACACAAGCACCGACACATACGACTAAAACAAATACAAACAAACGAAACACACGAAAAACAAAAACAACTACAAACTAACAACACAGCCTCCCTCAGTAAATACATCCGAAAAAGACATCAGATAAAGTCGATTCCGATGAGAGCTCCAAAGCTCTGATACCACGCCCGCCACCGCATAAGGCCTAGCAAGACGATGACCCAAGCCTAAAAAACAATCCGATAAACCAACCCGCAATCCAGCCGCACTCCAACAGCAAGAAGCCCAAAACCCCCCCCAACCGGCTAACACCACTAGCCGATCCAACACCGTCCCGAAGCCGCCTATCACCACTAGCCAACTCCGTCAACAGTCGGCCTCCCATGAACTCAGGAACAGAGGAAGGGGACGAATGGCGTCAACGCTCAGCCGCTCCGATCCTGCCCGAATGTAACGACATCCTTCCAACCCAGCCCGCAAGGATTAACCCCGACCCAACACCCCCGCACAATCGAGGAGCCGGCAACCAGACTCGGGCAGAAACCGGAAATCCACAATCTGGCAGACCTCCGAGCTGGGCAAGAAGAGACGCCCCGACCAAAGCCGACTCAAGCAACTCGAGCCTCATCCACGCACCTCAGCACCCCGCCAAGCCCAGATACCACTGAATTTCAACGGCCATCGAGCAGAAAGAGAATCCGCCGAAACCCTAGCCCTTACCCAGTGCCGTCAGACTGAGGACGAGAACGCCGCGGCCATGGATGACCGGTGGAGGCCGTCCACCAACAATCCCGGACAACGGCTGAGGGAGTTCAACCTGCGAGAATTGATGAAGGCCGAAGAATTGAACTCGAGCGAATTGGGATCTAAGAGCGAATTCTGTAACACCCTTATTTTAAGGGAGTTCAATTTTGTAACAGCCTTATTTAGTTGTTATCACAATTTTTTATTATTATTAATATTCATCATTATTTCCGTTGAGTAATAAAAAAAATGAAAGAATGTTCATTACAAGGAAAGCAGACGAGGTAACAGTTGTTTTAGGAAAGTAACCATAATTAGTTTGCAACTTTGCTCACATTATAGCCACAAAACCAAATTAGGAACCCTAATTCCACGGCCGCAACCTGCCGTCAACATAACGATAAAGGAGATGCGTGACATATTCGGGAAGTAGGGCGCCGCGCGTCAGATCCGCATCGGCGCGAACAGGGACACGCGGCATTGCCTTCTTGGTGTTCGAGGATATCTACGACGTCGAACACCTTTTGTGCGTCAACGTTTCAAACAGATATCCGATCGTCTTTTACTACAGCAGGCGAAGATGGGCTAGATATTTGACCGGAGGAAGAAGGTAAGTAGTTTGTCGTGCTCTGCTGCGTTTGGGTTTTGAAGTTTCTATATCAACGCTTATTTTTTCTTCTCAATTCCGAAGTTCCCATATCCTTTTGTATGTCCCAGATTCAGGGTCATCTGGGAAAAGAAAAATACGGGTCAAAATAGCCATTGAAGCATGTAAGAAGAACTCAGTTGTGTTGAGAAAATTGGCTGGTTTCCCGTTCCCAAACAACAGAAGGCCTCTCATGTCGGTGGGATATGGTTCTTTTGAATCTAAACTCAAGTCAGGTTTCTTTTTCTTCTTACTTATTACTCGGAGATGATATTTGAGTAAATTGATTTCTTTATCATTGTTACTTGTTAATGTTATTTGTATTTTCTTTCTGATTTTCAAATATATGATCCATGAAAATTTGATGCCTCTTGTGCTTTATCTGTCTGAGACCTAGTGTTTACATAGTGTGGTATGCTGTTTACTGCCTTAATTATCACAGATCAAACCTTGTTGTGTATCACGTATCATTTTTTTGAGATTCACCAAAACTCTTTCACGCTGTGATTATTGTTTAGACTATAAATTACATTTAGTTTCATATCATTATTTCCACTGGACTGAGGACCACGTTTGGATTATCTCAGTTAATTCATATGATAGAAACTTGCCTCCATCCATTTTTTTTTTCAAAAAATTTATTATCTGGATAGAAAAAATTAATTTCTGTGTAGGGATTTTCCCCTTTTCTTTTCTTTCCTTTTTTTTTTGTTGGTAAAATTCTAACAGAGCTTGATACTATTGAAAAATTAACTTCTGTGTACCGATTTTTTTTGCTTTCTTTTTTTGCTTGGAACTTTTCAATCAACTATATTCTAGAGAACTTGGAACCATAAATCTTGGTCTTCTGTTTTACCCTCTTGTGCTCTTAATATGGTTTCTGGTAATTCCTTTACCAAATTGTGGGCTTCATTTGATGTGGACTTTGAATTTCATTGTGCTAACTATTTTTTGTCCTTTAGGGATTCGGTTTGATTTTTTTTAATGTACTAATATTCCTCTATTAATAACTTAATTTTCTTGTTATTCTTTTAGCATTAATCTTTTTCTTATGTTCTCCTACGCAATCAAATATGGTTCATCCCATATCTTTACCCTACCTTGGGGGAGGACTTGGTTTGGGTTTTGAATTTGGTTGTGCTACTTATTTGTGGCTAAGGAGTTGGACATTCATTTAGATTTTATTATTAATTTTGTGTATGTACTAATACTTTCCTATCAAGGCTTGTTTTTTCTTTGTGCTTCTAATCTTGATATTTTGTACTAGTCTCTCGTGCTACTAATACATTTCATCCAATTTCTTTCCTTGCCTTGGGGACAATGTGGTTGGAGCCTCAAATTTGGTTGTGCTATCTAATGGATTGGACATTCAATTTGATTTTTAAGTGTTCTTTTATACTAATATTTTCCTACCATTGATTTCTCTGTTATCCTTTTAGCTTTATTCTTTTTGTTACGCTATCAATATGGTTCATCTGACTTCTTTGCCCTACCTTGGGGGACGACTTGGTTTGGGCTTTGGATTTGGTTGTGCTACTTATTTGTGGCTACGGATTTGGACTTCCAATTAGATTTTTTATTAGTTTTGTCTATGTATTAATATTTAATATATTCCTATGGTGGTCCTATTTTTTCGTGCTTTTAATGTTGATCTTTGTTACTACTCTCTCGTGCTACTAATACATTTCATCTAATTTATTGTCATGCCTTGGGAAGATTTGGTTGTGCTACCTATTTTGGTGGCTTAGAGATTGGAAATTCGATTTGATTTTTAACTGTTCTTATATTCTAATATTTCCTACCATTGATATCTTTGTTATACTTTTAGCTTTCATCTTTTTGTTCTGTTCTCCTACGCTATCAATATGATGGTTCATCTGATTTCTTTGCCCCACCTTGGGGCCGACTTGGTTTGGGCTTTGAATTTGGTTGTGCTACTTATTTGTGGCTAAGGAGTTCGACATTAAATTAGACTTTATTAGTTTTGTGTATGTACTAATATATTCCCACCGGGGTCTTGTATTTTCTTTGTTGATTTTAATTTTGATATTTTGTACTACCAACTCGTGCTACTAATACATTTCATCCATTTTTTTCCCTGTCCTGTTTGGGCCTTGAATTTGGTTGTGCTACCTATTTGTGGCTAAGATTGGATATTCAATTTGATTTTTAAGTGTTTTTATATACTAATATTTTCCTACCATTGTCTCTTTGTTATCCTTTTAGATTTACTCTTTCTTTTTTGTTCTATTCTCGTACGCTATCAATATGGTTCATCTGACTTCTTTGCTCTACCTTGGGGGACGACTTGGTTTGGGCTTTGGATTTGGTTGTGCTACTTATTTGTGGCTAAGGAGTTTGGACTTTCAATTAGATTTTTTATTAGTTTTGTCTATGTATTAATATATTCCTATGGTGGTCCTATTTTTTTTTTGTGCTTTTAATGATGATCTTTGCTACTACTCTCTTGTGCTACTAATACAGTTCATCTAATTTCTTGCCATGCCTTGGGGACAATTTGGTTTGGGCCTTCAATTTGGTTGTGCTACCTATTTTTGTGGCTAAAAGATTGGAAATTCGATTTGATTTTTAAGTGTTCTTATATACTAATATTTTCCTAACATTGATATCTTTGTTATACTTTTAGCTTTGATCTTTTTGTTATGTTCTCCTATGCTATCAATATGATAGTTCATTTGATTTCTTTGCCCCACCTTGGGGGACGACTTGGTTTGGGCTTTGAATTTGGTTGTGCTACTTATTTGTGGCTAAGGAGTTGGACGTTAAATTAGACTTTTATTAGTTTTGTCTATGTATTAATATATTCCCACTGAGGTCTTGTTTTTTCTTTGTGATTTTAATTTTCATCTTTTGTACTACCAACTCGTGCTACTAATACATTTCATCCATTTTTTGCCTGCCTTTGGACAGTTTGGTTTGGGCCTTGTGCTACCTATTTGTGGCTAAGATTGGACATTTAATTTGATTTTTAAGGGTTCTTATATTCTAATATTTTCCTACCATTGTCTCTCTGTTATCCTTTTGGATTTATTCTTTTCGTTCTGTTCTCGTACGCTATCAATATCGTTCATCCGACTTCTTTGCCCTACCTTGGGGGACGACTTGGTTTGGGCTTTGTATTTGGTTGTGCTATTTATTTGTGGCTAAAGAGTTGGACATCCAATTAGATTTTGTATTAGTTTATTGATAGTTTATTGTCAATGTCACACTTTTTTTCTTAACAATTTGATGTTTTGTTCCATTTTTTTGTACTCTGTAATTCGTTCAGTTTCTTTTCTATATCTTGGAAGGCAACTCTGGGCTTTTATTTCGTTTTCCTATTTGTGGTTGAGAAATTTGACCATCTAACTATAGTTTTGGTTTTCTCAGTCTATTAATAATTATTAGTCCATAACCTATTTTTCTTGGCCTGGTAATTTTGAAATTTTGTTTTGCTTCTCTGAGCTTTGAATATATCTTATCTTTCCTACCTTAGACTTGTTGAGGCTTTGAATTGGATTCGTATAACCTATTTGTAACCATCTGTCCTTTAAACTTTTAATTTTCTCTAATATGTTCTATATGTGTTTCCTGCATAATTGCTATGCTCTTCTTGGACTGGAGACTTGATTTTTGATTTAAATTAGTTTGTGTACATTATTTGTGCCGTAGGATGGTTTGGGCACTCTTGTAGATTTTTTGTTAATATAATGTACTAAAACATTTCTTGCCAAAATTTATTTTTTTAACATTTTGGATAAGGATTCATGTATTTTTTAGTCCCAAAGAGGATCCACTCCTTTGACAGCTTCTAAATATACAATTGTTTATTACCCTTTTTGTTGCTTCAAACTAATCATTTTTGTTTTTTTTTTTCTATCACCTTTTTGTGGCCCATTGGCTTAAAGTTTTCATAATTAGTTAGTGTTACCTTGTATCTCTTTGATTTTTGATTTCTCTGTTGGCGTGAGACTTTGTTTGGGCCCTAAAATTAGACTGCATAGCTAATTTTGTGGACAAGGTTTGCTGTACGTTTGACTGGTGTTTAGGATTTTTGATACATACTTCTTTGACATCTTTTGATCATTTGCTCCATACTCTCACTTTTGCAACAAATCTTTGGAGTTGTGTTGGAGACTAAAGTGACCATTATTAGTCATCCCAAGCCTTTACATAATTTAAAGTGTTCGCCTATTATGGAGGTGGAATTTATGTCATCCTGTTATCTTGTGGCTTTTGCTTTATACCTGTTATTATTCAAAATTTTATTTGGTTGTGGTATTATGATATTACAGTTGCTTGTTGCATTACTATAATGGAGATGATATTTGAGATTATATCATCTTTTAGCTAGTAGTAGGTTTCAGCTTCTTGTCAAAGGTTAACCTTCAAATCATTTCCTCATTTTTTTTTCCCCTCTTAGTTCTAATATTGTTAAAATTCATTACCCATCATCTGTCTGATGCTAGATTATTTCATAATCTTGTTCGCTGAATAAAAAGAAGGTTTTTACGTGGGGTATGATTTTATTATTAGTTAAAGCATCAAATTTAGACCATCTACATTTGTTTAAGATAATTTACTACTTGCTGCATCTCATTTGAGGCCTTATCCATTGGTGGTCCTGTTTGGGTATTATTGCTTCCGTCCATTTCTTCTTGGCTTGGCATCTACAATGAAAGTTTGGCAAAAATAAGTACATTTATTAGAAGTAGATTCAACATTGATCAAAACTAACATCAAAACTAACAGGGACTAAGGAACTAATTCCTGAGCAAAAATAAAAGTNAAAAATATATATTGGAATACAATCTGACCACATTGTCGTTGTTTTTTATTCTACCGCCCACTTTGCAATGACATGAACAATCTCGTTATGAAGGCGATTCGTGTGCTGACAAAGACCGCATTCTACTAAATCCAGGAGTGTTCGTATATTCGAGAAAATGCCTTCAATAGGGTGATATGACTCGTTCGCTATCAATCCTTGCACGACTTCGAGGCAATCTGAAACTTGTTGGATCTTCATTCCCAACATGGCTGCGAAACGTAACCCGAATTGAATAGAAAAAGCCTCAGCCAAAGTTGGAGAGAACAAACCTGGCATATGAGATGCACAAACCGCGACTACCCGTCCTTCTGTATTTTTTATCCAACCTCCTAACCCAATTTTCGAGTCTCGTACAGCTGCATCACAATAAAGATAATAACCATTCACATTTCCTTGCCTACCTTTCCAAGCCCAGCGATCCTCAACGAAACCTCCAGCCACATCGAAAAGTGTACAAGCTTGAGCCTTGTTGTAATCCTCCACCCACCTGGCACCTTTATCAATTATCGCTTAGATGACTAAAATAGCATACGTGAATCCAATCTCGCTTCCTTATCAATTATTGCATCAATATCACTTAGATGACTAAAATAGCATACGTGAATCCAATCTCGCTTCCTTATCAATTATCGCATCAATATCACTTAGACGACTAAAATAGCATACGTGAATCCAATCTTGCTTCCATTCTGAGGAAAGATTCTTGAATTCACGCTTCACTTGCATGCATTGGGTATTGAGTATTTCCTTAGACTTAGAACTGAATTCTGCAATGGATAGTTGCAATTTCGAAAAAAGAGTCCGATTTTTCTTGCATTAAATCATTCATATATGTGTAGATATAACCAACACATATATTTTTTCTGGATTCATTTGGTTCTTTTGAGTCTTGCTCGAGTCGGATGATAAAAAATTATCATGTCCGGTTCCTTGAGGGGATGGATCTATAAGAATTCCTGGCTATTCCTGAAGAACTAGAAAACTCTGATCCTGAAAGCGAAAGAAAGTAACAAAAAGGCTTTTGGCAATCGAACTCGAAGCAAGGAAAGAGAATATGGCATGGTACGAATTGTAAGAAGGAAATCGGCATTAGCCAATCCTGAGAACTTCTATGACTTCACTTCGCTTCGAAAAGTTCGTTGGGTCGATGTAATTGAGGCTTGGTGTCGGCATTCGCATTTCCGCTGTTGACGTCCTATCGAGTTACCTCTTGCTCCATTCAAAAGAATATTTCTATTCTGCCACACAATCCATAGAAACATAACAAAAGACGTAAAGTCCGATTCCTTATAGCCCTCTGAGATGCTCACAAGCCTCAAGCATAAATGTTGGCCCCGCCTTTTAATATCGCATCCCACCAACCAAATTGTTTCCACAGTTTCTTCACCCACCAACACTCAAAGAAAACATGATAATCTGATTCCCAACACCCGCATCTAGGACAATTAGCATTTGAATCAATATGTCTTCGACGAAGGTTTTCCCCATAAGGGAGCAGTCGGTGTGATAAACGCCATAGAAATAATTTTATTTTTGGCAGAAGATGTAAACGCCATAACAAACACCACCATGACGTAAAACTGCTAGAACTCGAGGTCGGGTCATCCACAATTAAATTTTGAAGAAAGCGATACCACTCCGAACTGAATAAGTGCCCTTCTTTTCAAAATGCCATATAAGTTTATCTGTCATGGCGGGATAGTTCAATGGGATTGATAGAATTTTCTCTGCGAAGAAAAGTTGAATTTATTAAGTCTCTATTCCAGTTCCCGTGAACACCAATGAGGTCCTGTACCTTCTCAAGGCCCAATAAAGGTGGAGTAAGAGTATGTAAATGATACTGTCGAGGGATCCACGGGTCTGAGAAAATTTTGATTTGGGAACCATCTCCCACCCTCCAACGTACCCCCAATATGATAACATCTCGTCCCCACACGAGACGTTTCCAAAGAAAAGAGGAATCCGGTCTTGCAACCGCCTCCAGAATGTTTTTATCAGGGGCAATATTTGGATTTCAGGACCGTCGCTGTGAGGGAATTAGGGCGAGTGAGAATTCTCCAAATTTGTTTTGCCAAAATCGCCCGATTGAAATTCTTCACATCTCGAAAAAGAAGCCCTCCATTATATTTCGATTGGCACAAAGAATTCCATTTTACCCAAGATAATTTCTTAGCTCCATTTTTTGTTCCCCACCAAAACTTCCGCATTAGGCCAATTATCTGCCTTACAGATGCAACTCGGAAATCGAAATAAGCTCATGGTATAAATCGGCATTACTTGAATAATTGCTTTGAGTAGAACTTGTCTTATAGCAGAAGAGAAAAATCGATGATCCCAGCTTTTTAGTCTTTTCCAAATTTTATCTCGAATGCTAGCAAAGGTGCGGATTTTATTACATCCTACCACTGATGGGAGGCCGAGATAGGTGTCATGGGTCTGAAGCTCCTGGATCCCCAACAAATTTCCAATTTCTCGTTGTAGTTGAGCCGAAGTATTTGGAGAAAAAGTGATGGTTGTTTTTTCCAAATTAATCAGTTGTGTCAGGTAAGGAACTAGTTCTAAAGCAACTAAATATTTAATATCCTAATACTTACCAAATAAATAAGATTCCAATCAACACTAATTAGCCCACGTGAGGAATAAACTCACGACGAACTAATCTTGCCAACTTCATCAAACTCACGCCCCTACCCAAAAATAAAATCATTCATGTGGCGTTTATCACATGCATGACATCGGGCTTATCACACGAGGTCGAGACGCGCATGGCCGAGACCTGGAAACCCTGCAGGTCGACGGCGAGGACTGGGTGAGAACCGATATGAGACACGCGTACGAGAAGGTTTGAGAAGCCTCGTGAGGCGAGGAATAGCGCGCGACCAAGCACGCGGGGAGTAGACGGACGTGATGCGCGAATACATGAGGCGAGCCGTGCGAACCGAGGAGTGAAGATTCTAGAAGATATTAATTAGAGTAATTTGCTATTTTGATTAGAAATTGTTAGTAGTATTTTGTTAGTTAGATAAATTGTTAGATTAGTAGTTTAGTACGTGTTAGCATATATATTTATGTTAGCCATTAAGTAGATGATCGGTTAGTAATTGATTTTATATAGTTAGCAATAGTATTTGTTAGGTGTTATATTTAGTTAGTGGCGTTAGAATAGGTTAGTGTTAGATTGTTAGATTAGTTAGGATTTATTTATTTAGTTAGCGTTAGCCGTGAGTTAGTTAAGAGATTTATTAGTTAGGTATTTTATTTATTTTGGTAAGTCTTGGTATATAAGACATATAGTTACCTTAGGACTAGATATATTTTCCATAGATTAGAATTATAGTGCTCGTAGGACTAGATCTAGTTTTTCTTATATATATCCAATGTGCTCATTCTATTTCATCAATGTTGAAGAAGTTAATTGAAACCGAACATTTGTTCAAAATCTCGTGTGTTAATTCTCGTGAGTTTTCATAGAGATCGTGCTAGAAATAGGACCAACATTCGAGTTTCTTCACAATTCGAGAAGTACGAAGACGTCGGCGTGCGTATTAGCAACTTATCGTGAAGGAACCAAGACATCGGTGCGGGTTTCGAGCAAATCGAGTTGGTGAGACACACGATCCTTCATCAGTGCGCTGAGGCGCACGGGCGTCGTCGGGTGTGCGCGTGCTGCGTGCACACAGCTGCGGGTGGGCACGGGTATCTCGGCACGGTGCGGGTCCATCGGGCACTAGCCGAGCCGATCGGCTAAGAACTCTCCGAGAATTTTTTCGGTGATTTTTTGGCCCACGGTGACTCTCTGGAACGCAAATTCCTACAAAATAAAAGATATAAAGAGAAATAAAAAGTACAAGACACCAAAACAACGTGAAAACACAAAAACAAGCAAAACGACTAAATGGATCGTGAAAAACTTAAAATAAAATAAAACGAGCACAAATAAAACATATAAAACACACACAAAATAATAACAACATACACAATTAATGATACTGTTTGTTGAGTTTTTGTGCCTAGTATCTATGTGATTTTGGTGGTGTGTCTAGTCATTTTTGGTTCTTATTTGTGTCGTGTCGGTCTATTTTTCCTCGTTTTTGTCATTTCGTGTGTTTAGTGTCGTTTTTAGTCTTTCGTTGCGTTTCTTTGCTTTTTATGGTGTTTTGTAGGTTTAATGGAAGGAGATCGGTTGGGAGTATCATCTTTATCGAGTGGTATTTTAAGCACTAGTCTGTTCGTGACCCTGCGAACGCTGTGCCATGAGCGCCCGAACTAGTGGTCCCGAGGCCATCTCGCGATGCTGCGCGTGCCAGGCCACAACTCGTGTCCCCAAGGCCATCTCGCGACGCTGCGCATGCCAAGCCACATCTCGCGACCCCAAGGTCATCTCGCGATGTTGCACGTGCCACGCAACAACCCGCGACCCCTATGCATTTCCGCGACGCTGCGTGTGCCCATGCCAAGGCCACAACCCGCGACCAGAAGCCCTATTTCGCAACGTTGCGAGTTCTATTCGTTAAATGTGTATTTTTCTAGTGTGTGTTTTGAGAACACTATAAATACATTTAGTCCATTGGATATGGTCTTTTATTTTCCTTTTTCTCTCTAGCTTATGTTTTGGGAGGCTTAAACTCATGTTTTCCGGTCAACTTTCCGGCGACTCGTTTATTATGCAAGTTTTATGCATTTTTGGAGAGAGAAAATGACCCTATACGTTGGAATTGCAGTTGCATATCTGCGTTTTTTGGAGAGAAAATGGCCCTATACATTGGGATTGTAATTGCAGTTGAATATATGCATTTTTTGGAGAGAGAAGATGGCCCTATATGCAATTTGGGATTACAATTGCAGTTCGGTTAGAAGAAAAATTTCCCGCGTTTTGCGTTTGCAGCTTGATTGGACATATTCATTTGAGATGCATAGGCCTGAGAAGAAAAAGGTTTAAATTGTGTTTTAGGAAGAAAAATACTTTAAGTTACAAAGATGATAACGACACATGTATAGTACATGAAGCAAATTTTATTTTCACCCCAATAATATTATGCTCCTAAATCACATATTATTTTAAAATTCCCTGTCTAGACTTATATTGTCGGAAAAGACAAATGTCAATCACATGTTGAATTGTTGTGGCCTAAACATATACTGTTTTTTCTTCATTACAAGTGAGAATCTTCAGCCGTTCATACTTAATAAACATGACAATCAACACATCCACACACAATGGCACCTCCAATCTGATGAGGGGACGATAGTCTGCCAATTACCATTTTGCCCTCCTGGATAATCATAAAAGTTCAATAATACCTTCCAATTAACGACTTCGTGTCTCTTATCAATTGAAAAACAATTTGTAAAATGTGAACAAAAGTTGTGAGGAAAAGGGACTCCAACGAACTCGTATCTCTTATCAACTGAAAAACAGTTTGAAGATTGTGACAAAAGTGACAAGTGACAACCAAAGTTTGAAGAAAAAAGGGTTGCTGGCCACTCGATCACATGACTGACAACAGTGACAAGGAGCATTATTTTTCTTTACTCAAGTGTGTATACAAACTTACATGATGATACTGTGAGAGTTTATATAAGTATCCATTCATTTGGGCAAAGCTTCATAAGGCAGGAACAAATTAAAATAATCTGAAAAGATGGAGACGGTGAGAAAATTCATGGCAGTCAATGTGTTGGTAATTTTGGCAGTGGGACTAATGCTTACTGGGAAGTCGAGCGCGGACCCCACTGGTTGCTTGGCATGCCTCGGCCTGTGCATCCTCGATCCCTCAAATATTTGTAAGTGTGGCCACCAACTGCTTGCTAACTAGCTGCAGCTCTCAACAATTATATTCTCAGAATGATGTTGGTCAACAAGTTCCGGACGACCTCGACTACTGCAAGCTCGGCTGCGCTCTTTCTATGTGCTCCAATTTCAGCAAAAGAAATGATTCCAGTCAGTCAAATTTCTCTTTCTCGCTCGAATTCCTATCCATGTATCTATTTCTTTTTTTTTTGCAGAAATAAAAATAAATAAATTTATCTGTTTCTTCGCGTGTGTGTGTGTGTGCAGATGGTGAAAAAGCTGATGCCTGTGTGGGATCGTGCTCCAACAAATGTGTCAAGAGCAAATCATAACAGTACTTGATTTTTCTGGCCTTTATTATGGTCTTCACTACTTGATAAATGTTTAGCTTTTGACGTTGGTGATTTAATGATTTGTCCTTGTGGCGCCTCCAGCAGCAGTATAAGATCCTCCTCAAGCAGATTTATGTTGCAAAATCATTTTTCCCATTGNTTTACTTGTCGCTGAATAAAAACAAAGTGAAAAATAATGTGTTCTCTTGAAGCACTAGTTGTTTACTAGACATTCTCATACCTATTTTCAACTTTCTCATGATCAAAACATCACAACTATACATACACAGACATCTTAATTAAAACAAAAAACATCAGACAATTCACCTGCTTTATTAGACCCCTTATAACTGCCACAATAGTTCAAAAACATCAAAGGCATGCAGCATGTCTCAAAGCATAACACATTATTGTAAGCTCCAAAATCACATTGCATCATCGGTAATCTAATTATAATCGACACTCTACTAAAACAACAGTGACTTAAAGATTGTAATCGACACTCCACTAAAACAACAGTAGACTTAAATCACATTGCTCACTTGAACTCTGGTCAACGACTTCACGTCTACAAAACTCTAATGCGCTGAAAGTGAATATAAAATAATCATAGCAAATGAATCCATCCAAATAATAATTAAGTCGAAAAATATAAACGTGCGAATTAATGAAGCATATAAAAATACACTATTAAACATATAAAACGCGCTGATTTATTGACCTGTCAGGCCCACGGGTGGGTGGGGATTTGGGTAATGCTCAATTTACCCATTAATGAGTGTAAACTTTTAGGTTTTTTTAGCAGTTGGATTATTCGATCTGATGCCCACCCCCGCACCAGGTACGACATTTCCTTCCTTCGTCCTCATCCGGTCCGTTGTCCGCGTCTGCGGCGCCCACGTCCCCACTCTCATCCATGCCCTTGTCAGTTGCGGCTGGTACAACATCAAGACCTGGATCAACGGTGAGACTATCTTCCTCCTCTTACCTGAAACCCCACAACAATCCCATGCCTTTTCCCAACCCCACCCATGGATGGGCACCTCCCCTCTCGAATTCCTCTGCGATCGACGGAATTAGGGTTTCCGCTCGAGGAGTGATTTTGAGAGAGGGCTTTCATTCGAAAATTAGATAAGTCTTAGAGACTTATCTGCAAATTAAGAAATTTTAATAGTATTGCAATTTGGTTTATGTTAACTGTAAATTAGTAAAAGTTGATAGTTGCAGAATATTGTTCAGTGCAATGCACAATATCAGGTTAGAATTTGCAAATAAATATACAAGCACTGGAGAATGCACAATAATGTTAAACACAATGGACACTAATGTCTGTGAGAATACACATTAGCGTAACAGTGACTAAAATACCCCCATGAAAAATCATAATATCTATATATTTACAAGAATGCCACTACCTCTTTGACCACACCAAGACTCTTTGGTTGTGACTGGAGCGTTGATATATCACACTCGACCGCTACAATCTATTTCTATATTTTTTGATATGACTCATTCTCATGTCCTACTTTTATATATAGAGAGAGAGACAGATTGATTCAAAAATGAAAACTAGTCCTGGTGTGAGAACCGTATAGGATGCTATTTTTACTTGTGTATGATGTTATTTTAATATTACATGATGCTATCAATTTCACAAAATGTTAATATAAAATATTTTTTTATAAAAAGTATTTTGGTTAAAAATGGCACTAAATACAATCAACTATAGCACTATATACAATTAAAAATAACGATTCTCACGCTAAGATATGGTTCTCAATTGAATCATATCATATATAGAGAGAGAGAGAGAATGAGAGAGAGCGAAGCGATCATATGAGAAAAGGTAGATATTGAAAGAAATTAGAATGATTGGAAACCATTAGATCCAACATATCAATGAAGTCAAATATTAGTAATTAAAGTCAAACTCATTAAGAACAATATGGTCATTTCAAATAACACCCACCTACCCTACCTACTTCTCTCTCTCTTTCTCTCACACACATTATCAGATTTTTCTCCACAATTCAAGCACACACACACCTCCAACACCCGTCCTCCTCTTGTCCCCTGTTCTCTACCTCTGCCACGGCACGGCCGCCGCCACTGTAGATAGCAACAGCCCATAAACCATCAAGATCCTTGTTTTTCTGCGACCTCCGCTGACAAGGTCGCCCGCCACCACCAACACGGTCGCCCGCCGTTGGCCCTGCCACCGTCACCTGCCGCGACGCCCGCCGCTGGACACGCCACCGTCATCGGCCCCGACGCCTGATGCGCCTCAAACTTCCATCGCCGTTCGCCGCGCGACAAACCGGGTATACCTACTCAAAATATCTCCGACGACTGTAATTATTTGGAGATTTCGGAGACTTCGAGAGCGCCACCGTCGAGTTATCTGTCACCATCCCTGACGCCCACCGCACTTCAGCCCACCCCTGTCGCTCGCCGCGCCACAGAAGACGTCGAGAACCGCATGAAGATAATCTCCGGCGACTGTGATGATTTAGAGAACGGGACTTCGAGAACGCTGCCGTCCGAATGAGAATCGATTTGTGGGCTGAGAATGATTGTGCGATTTTCTGATTTACAATCTCGATTTTTGGATTGGGGGGTTTCAGTTGAAGAATTTGAAATGTTTAAGAGGTCAAATTGCAATTTTTTAACTTTTAATGTATTTTAATTTAGTACTTGTGGTAAATTGGTGATTTAATAAAAGTTATAGGGGCTTAATGAAAATTGTATTATTTTTAATATATTGCTATTTGGTTCACAAGTCATATTTGTAATTAATCAAAATACAATTATTATTTTAATACTTTATAATTTTAATTGTTGATACTAATTGATATTTTTATATAAAAATGAAAAATAATAGTAATATTTTATATAATTTGTACATTTGGTTAGTTCGACTATTTAATTAATAAAAGAACACATCGAACCGAAATAAAGTATTTTTAAAAGTAAAAAAATATCGAACTGAAAATTTTAGTTCGGTTGTCTTCATTCGATATTGTGCAATCTATTAGTTAGTAATGTGCAATTTGTATAACCATAATGTGCACTCGTAATACATATATATATATATATATATATATATATATAATATTTTTTATATAGTTCGGTCATTTTAGTTATATTGATTATTTTTAAAAAAATAAATCCGACATTGAACTGAAATAACTATAATTTTAGAAGTAAAAATAATTTATCGAACCGAAATATAAAATTTTGAATCGAAAACTCTAATTCGGTCGGTTTGCTTTCGCTATCTATTGTGCAACCTGCTAGTCGCGATAAAGTGCAGCGTCGTATTTTATAAAGTGTAACGTGTTGTTTTATAAAGTGCAACGTGATGATAAATAAAGTGCACTACTGTAATTTTGGTACGCTAGCATACTTGTGTGTTTTTGTGGACAAATGATATGATGGATGCTAGAATATATGTATCTCCATTTTTTAGATTTATGTTGCGTTGTATTTTTGTGGGAGCTATTGTCAATTTTTAGAGGAAGCTATTGACGTTAATTGTCGTTGTGTTGTATTTTGGTGGGAGCTATTGTCCATTTTTTAGATTTATGTTGCATGGTATTTTGGAGGAAGCTATTGACGTTAATTTTGGAGTATTGTGATAAAGTGCACCGTGCTGTTTTATAAAGTGCAACATGTTGTATTATAAAGTGCAACATGATGTTTTATAAATTGCAGCGTGCTGTTATATAAAATGCACTACTTTATGTAATCTCAGATAAGTTATGTATATTAAAAAACTAGTTTTAGTTGATATAATTGTACATCGAATTAATCGAACTAATTTAATATATTTAATTATTTATTACTATAAAAGTATATTTAGTACTCTCTCCTATTTTTATTATTTGTCATTCTAGCTTAATTGATCATTTGTTAAATAATTGTCATTTTGGCTATTTTGTACATATTTTTCCATTATTACCCCATCTAACTAATAAATACATTTGTTCATTTGTTAAATAAATGTCATTTTGGCTATTTTGTACATATTTTTCCATTATTATCCCCATCTAACTAATAAATACACTACGTCTTTTCATATTCACTCTCCATCTTTTCTCAAAACATCTATCTTTATCCTCATTAATGATGATTATTATTGGGAATAAAAATATTCTTAATTACTGTGCAACTTCTCAAAACGACATTTATTAAAAATAGGAGGGAGTATTTTTAATATATTAAGTATTTTTACTATTTTTTGTGTTCTTGTTAGTGTTTGTGGGTTGTGTTTATTTTCTTTCCCTTTGGGAGTGCATCTTTTGTCGTCTCCCTTTGTGGAGCATGCTAGTCCCCCTTTGTGGAACACTTGTTGCGCTTTCCCTGTTTGATTTCCTTTTTGATTAGGCTAGTTGGAATTATCAAGTGTAATCTGTTGATTACTGACTTGTACTTCTGAGGTGTTGTAATGAAATTTGATGTTTGAGAAAATATATATATATAGGGGGTGGTTCAAATAAAAACTAATCCTGGTGTGAGAACTGTGAGAACCATATTTGATGCTATTTTTACTTGTGTATGATGCTATTTTTATTATCACATGGTGCTATCATATTCACAAATGCACATATAAATTATGTTGCTATTTTTTATAAAATATATCCGGACTAAAAATAGCACTAAAACATAATCATTACAAGGTAGAATCTTCAGCCTCAGTTTTCATTTCATACTAAATAAACATGACAATCAACGCATCCACACACAATGGCACCTCCAATCTGATGATGGGATGATAGTCTGCCAATTACCATTTTGCCCTCCTGGATAATCATAAAATTCCAATAATACCTTCCAATTAACGACTTCGTATCTCTTATCAATTGAAAAACAATTTGCAAAATGTGAACAAAAGTTGTAAGAAAAAGGGCCTCCAACGAACTCGTCGTATCTCTTATCAACTGAAAAACAGTTTCAAAGATTTTGACAAAAGTGACAATTAGTGACAACCAAATTAAGTTCACATGACTGACAACAGTGACAAGGAGCATTATTTTTCTTTACTCAAGTGTGTATACAAACTTATGTGGAGATACTAGGAGAGTTTATATAAGGTAGCATTCATTTGGGCAAAGCTTCATAAGTCAGGAACAAGTTAAAATAATCTGAAAAGATGGAGAAGGTGAGGAAATTGAATGTGTTGGTAATTTTGGCAGTCGGACTAATGCTGACTGGGAAGTCGAGCGCTGATGACACCGGCCTTCTCTGCGCCCTCGCATGCGTCCCGCAGCTCGTTCCCACAAAAGTTTGTAATTGCATTCATGACTGCTTTTCAGGCAGCCCTGCCCCTTCTCAACAATATTCTGAGAATGATGTTGGTGAACAAGATGCAGATGGCCTCGGCTACTGTAAGCTCGGCTGCGCTTTTTCTATGTGCTCCGGTTTCACCACAACAAATGATCCCAGTCAGTCAAACTTCTCTTTCTCGCTTCTTTTTTTTTTTCAGATATAAAAATAAATTAATTTATCTGTTTCTTTGTGTGTGGGTGTGTGTGTGTGCAGATGGTGAAAAATTTGATGGCTGTGTGGGATCGTGCTCCAACAAATGTGCCAAGAGCTACTCATAGTTATTTACCTCAGAGCATGAGTACTTGATTTTTCTGGCTTTTATTATGTCATTCACTACTTTATGTTGCAAAATCATANACTTGTCGCTGAATAAAAACAAAGTGAACAATGTGTTCTCATGAAGCACTAGTTGTTTACTAGACATTCTCATACCTGTTTTCAACTTTCTCATGATCAAAACATCACAACTTTACAAACACAGATATCTCAAAACAATAAACATCAGACAATTCACCTGCTTTATTGTACCCCTTATAACTGCCACAATAGTTCAAAAACATCAAAGGCAGCATGTCTCAAAGCACAACACATTATAAGCTCCAGAATCACATTACATCATCGGTATCTAATTATAATCTGACACTCTACTAAAACAACAGTAGACTTTAAAGACTCAACTCTTTCAGCCTTTTTTATGTCCTCAGATTGTAACATGGCATCCATCACTCGATTAAACTCACTACTTCATTTCCCATAAAAAGAAGAAAAAATAAAAGAGAGAAGACAAGAAGATGAAAAACAGAGACACTGAAAGTAGGCATATGGAATTACGCTATTAATTAAAACGGCATCCATTTTGAGGAAAATTGAAGAGATATATGTTTTCAAAGAGTATCACAGATGCATGCCTGTTGGATGTTAACAGAAAGTGAAACACATGGGTATCGTGGATGAAAAGCGGAGAAAGCTTACATCTAAAGGAAATTACTAGCTTGGTTATCTATATCTATATCTATCTATCTATCTATCTATCTATCTATACTACTTTAAAAGGACGAGTGTTTTTGTAAAAATATGAACTACCTAAAATAACCTTACTTTGACGTATTTTTAATGGCAAATTAGTAATACACTAATACATATTTTATTTATTTTTTAATTAAAAAATGAATTATCTAAAAAACCATTACTTTAACATGTTTTTAATGGCAAATTAGTAATAAAGTAGTACCCATCATATCTTATATTTTTAATTAATAACTAATACTTAATTTATTAAATACAAATACAAGAACAATACATTTCACATCTCCTAAAAATCAAACAAAATATTCTCGCACCATTATTTATCAGCAAATGGTTTTCTTCCACATATCTCCCAAAAATCAACTCAACATCAACCTAAACAACAAAGTTTTGAAAAGATATAGAATTGTTATTTTAAAAAAAAAAAAAAATCTTGTTTTTAATATAATTTTATACATTATCTTACAAACTAGCGAAGTTGAACAATTTCATTTAGCTACTTCATTATTTAAGAAAAGTAAACTCTTATATTTAGAATTAGAATAAAAATTGTACTTTAATCTAGAATGTTTTGTTTGTGTAATTGTATTTAATTAATTAAATATTTCATAAGTATTAGTATATTACTATTTTGACATTAAAAATATGTCAAATAAAAAGTTAATATATTTTTTTTCATAATAACTTAAAATAAAAAGTAAATTGTGTAATAGTATGAGAGATAAATTGTTGAATTATTATTTTGCAACCTAAAAACTACTCAATTTTTTTACTTAAAATAAGATTAAAGTAATTTATGAAATTATATAATACTAAAATTCAATCCATTTTTTTCATGTCGAATGGATATTGCTTGAGCAGCATGATTTAATTTTGATTATACAATTATCTATGAATTAATTAAGATGTCTAGAGAATCATGATATGCTTATACGCTGAAAATCAATAAATTTTTACCATTAAATTATATCATATATCACCATTACTCATCTATTATTAATTACTATAACTAAAAAAATTAAAATCGATAATGTTTTTCCTCATAACACCCATAACTTATAAAAACATTTTTTTTTCAAATAACATATAAAAATAATGTAATAGTATGAGAAATTAATTGTTGAATGATTGTTTTGCAGCCTAAACTTCTAATCTACTTTTATAAAATTGTATAATACTAAAACCCATACTATTTATGTTTATTTCAAATAGTGTACCGCTTGAGCAACATGATTTAATTTAGATAACATGATTATCAAAAAAATAATTAAAAAAATATTAGAAAATCATGATATGCACGTATACATTTAAAATTTATTAATTTTAGCAATAAATTATATTGATATATTACCATTACTTATATATCTATTTATCTGTATTATTTCAATAAAGTAATTTTTTTTATAAAAAAAGTACATAATAAATTTATTTTTATATTTGAGTATAATATTAATGAAGAAAAATTTAATTATATATAATAAATTACAAAGACGTACAATTAATTGATTATAATAAGACAGATGTCCCAAAAGGTTCTATATTTAATTTTATGTATTCTTCTAACAAATATATTAAGGAAAAAAAACAATATAAAGGAACATATATAAATATATATAATATATATATATATATATTAAAACATATAAAATAACAATATAAAGGAAAAACATATTAAATTTGATAAATAATATTAAAATAAACTTAAGTTGTAACATTTACTAATAAATATGAAAAAAGTAATAAATACAATGTTATGGTTAATAAAAATAAAGATCAAACTTTTTAAACTTGTACTTATTGATTTAAACGAGCTGAGTTGTTAAACGCTTGTTAATTTTTGTTCTTATTAATTCTAGGTGTAAGTTTTAGGTGATAGACAATAGTTATATATACTTTTATTCGTCATTATCTTCAAAATTAATTAAAAATATCTAGAGAATTATAATATGTCTATATACGCTGAAAATAAATAAATTTTCATCAAGAAATTATATTGATATAGTACCATTACTCACCTATCTTTTTTTGAAACAGAACGATAGAAAGAACTTATATTAACAACAAACCGAGACTAAGGAACAACTTTTCAGCCGAATATACAGCCAACGACCGAATAAGTTGAACAACTTTTTATTAAAAAAAATGTACATATTTTTTTTAATATTTGAGTATAATATTAATGACATAATTATAATTATATATATAATATAATATATAGATGTACAACTATAATGGATGTAATAAGACATAAGACCCAAAAAAAGTTATATACTTAATTTTATGTATTTTTTTAACAAATCTAATAGTTATATATATATATATATATATATATATATATATATATATATATGAAAAAATGTAATAAAACTAAAAAATAATGTTGTTCAAATAGAGATCAAATTAAATTATAATAGAATTTATGTGGATTAATAAGTGTACCATCAAAATAACATAATGCCATTACAATTTATAAATTATAGTTTTTATTATTTGTCATCTTTCTCATATGTAATACTTTTTTTTACATATCAATACAATCACAATAAGTTCAATAATATTAAAAAGAAAAGAATATTTTTTCTCAATCCGACATAAGAAAATATAAAAAAAAATATTACATTTTTTAAAAAAAATTATGAACGAAAATCTTATGTTATAATACAGTTGACTCGAAAATATAGTTGATGAATGTATAAATTACGAATATATAACTAGAATTCTACATATAGTGAAAAAAGACGTAAAAAATATTTTTTAAAGTTAGATATAAATTATGTCGCAAAAGAGAGAATATAAACTATCATCAAGATTAAAAAGAAAAGAGAGAATAGAGCGTAAAAATTGTAAATTTTGATAACTATCATATTTCTTTTAGTTGTGATATTGCATTTATATTATAACTTTGATATAGTTATGAGCTTAACTAAATCATAATTGATTGAGTTGTAAATTAATTTATTATTTATCTTTCATTCTTTTAATTTTATTTTTTAAATAAAGGGTATGATTAAAATTATTAAAAATGTTCTCATAATTTTTGTTAGATATCTTATAATATATGTTTTGGGATGAGGCTTGTGTCGGGACTATTGGACAAACATGGATCTGTCCATAATTCTAACAAAGTATTTTTGTTAAAAATATTCATTGAAAAAATCAAACGAGAATAGTAACATTGAAATATTTGTTAGAGTTGTTGAATTTTCGTTGTAACATGCTTTCATTACAATTTCATCATTTTCTTGCAGTAAAAGTATGACTCCAAATAAAAAAAAAAAAGCACTATATATAATATTGTGTGCAGTTAATTATTTTGGAAAATGTTGATAATAAATATAACACATTCAATGTAACTATCATTCAACTTATGATAAGTAGTCATTTTTTTTAAAAAAAAGATACATCTAGGTTGAAAAGTCCTTAATTATTTTATTAGTATTATAACAACTAAACAAGAAGTAGGAATGATGTTCTATGTAATAAAAAGGTAAGACTAATACTAAACAAGAGGTAAGAATATTGTTCTACGTGATGAAAAGGTAAAACTACACAATGAAAAAGCTTATAGCTCACATTCCATCCAAAAGAAATAATAAAAATAAAATTAGTAAATGTCCCATATCAATTGAAACTAGCGAATGATAAATGTAAAACATACTTGAGATGCAAATTTTTAAAAAATATATTTATCTTTTTGTGTTAGAAATATGTACGTTAGTCATCATTTTTTTAGTTAACAATTTAATTAATTTTTACCATTAAAGTTTTTAATTTTGAAATACATAATATTTTTTTTGTTACGCTATTATATTTAATATATCACATCATTTTTTTTCCCTGATGTTTGATTTGACCAATGTATTGTAAATAAAATAAATATATATATATATATATATATACCAATTTAAAATAATATATACCAATTTATAGATACATGTTAACTCAATTTTATTAATTATAAAATAATATTGGATAAACTTGTTTTATATTTTTCTTACATAGATTGGAAATATTCAATACTAAGAAAAAAGTGTAATTGGATGTAAACGTACAACTATTACCAATATTAACTATATAAATTAAAAAAAAAAAAATGAGTTGTATGTTAAACTATTATACAATTATTGCTTGAAAGAGAACATCATAATGGTTTTGAAAATATATTTTTTGTGGATATGAAAATAAATTAATTACTTAAGAGTTTATCATCAATGGAAAAAAAAAATCCAAAATCTTTTTAATCTTATAAACAATATAAAAGTATATTTTTATAAAATATATTTTTACTATCAAACACGTAAAAAAAAACTCAATGTATATAAATGTGGTCTAATATTTTTAGCAAATAAAACATTATTTTTGAATAAAATAAAAAAACAAATAAAACAATAGTGATGCAATGGGGAAAAGAAACAGTCAGAACTTTTTTAGAAAAGTATGAATACCAATATTAAGAAACAAAAATCTTTTAAAAATACAAATTTTTTGTTGCTAGCATTTAAATATATGTTATCTATACAAAATTGGTTCTCATAAATAATGATTTGATATTATAATAATGTAAACCAGAAACTTTAATAATGACTTCATAATCGTAAAGTTAACAAATGACTAAGAGTATCATAATATAATATAATTCAAATTCTTCTGATTTGAAATATTTTGACATATAATATGCGTCTCAATATTGTCTCATTGTTTTGTTTTGTTTTGTTATTATTGAAGAATCAAGAAATTATCATTATCTTGAATTTTCGGAGCATTAGTTATCATACAAAAAGTTGGACAATAAATGCATTAAATAAATTATTAGACACATAAATATTGCAAGTAATCCAAACAAATGTGAAGGTATTATGATAAACAACTCTAAAATCATTGCACCAACCAAAATGTTCAATGATATGCAAATTGCAAATAATAGGTTATGTAGTTCATCTATCATCCAAATAAATAACATTGAAAAGACAATGTTTGGTTATGATTAAATTATTTTTGAATGATTGAATAAGTTCACTTTTTGATAGAATATTTACAATCTTAATTGTGTATTTTGCTCGATCATATGTGCAATTACTTTAGAATACAAATTTTAATGTGATGTGTGATAATTTTAAAAAATAATTTAGCGACTTCGAAGAAGTACATAATGTTGAAAAATCAACTTCTATTTAGAGATTAAATCCGTTTCCACCCCATGGAGTACGTACCAATTTGTCTATCATAATTGTGTATTGTGCTCGATCGTATGTGCAATTACTTTAAAATACGTATTTTAAAGTGATGTGTGATAATTTTAAACAATAATTTTGCGACTTTGGAGAAGTACATGATTTTGGAAAATCAACTTTTATTTAGAGATTAAATTCGTCCTCACCCCATGGAGTAAGTACTAATTTGTCTATATGGAGAGAGAGAGAGAGAGAGAGAGAGAGAGAGTAATATAGTATTTTATACAATGACTAGAAAAATATCAAGAATTTTAATGACACAAGTATCAAGAACTCTAATGATACAATTGGTTATATCACAAAGATATTTATGAAGTGTTAGTAAATATACTTTGTAATGATCATACAATCATGAAGTTTGACTATATGTTCGGTTAAAGTATCTCTAAGTGTTGAATAAAGCAAACATTTTGCCAAATTAATTAAAAAAAAATTGCAATACTATTGATGTATTGGAATACAACGAGTATAAATGCTTCTTATGAGAACATCTCTCATCAAAATCAGAATGAAAGAAAATCACTCTTAAATCTAACATAAATAAATAAAAGAACTCATGCATCTATAATATACATTAGGTTCTTATTTAGTTACATTTTCCTATATTTTTGTTGGGGGGTTTTGTAATATGTTATTTAAATTTTTTTATGTTACGACATCATTATATTATTTTTGGAAAAAAAATAATTAAGAGTTTATTTATTCTACATTTTATTTTTTCTTCCTGCAATCATTTTATTTTATTAATTAATTTATCTTACTAAAATTAATCGGCCAAAAACATTCGTCACCACGTGCATCGCACGTGCACTTTACTAGTTTTAAATATTGAACTGATTCATGTTCCAATGAAATTTGGTTCGTTTTTGTTAAGAGGATGAAACAAGATAGCTTAATAATATCAAAACTCTGTGCGATCATCAATAAAAGCTATAAAATATTTTTTACTCGTTTTTTGTTTGCACAATTTTCCGATTACATACGTCAATATGTATTAAGCCCAACGATTCAGCACTCATTTCCACCAAATGAAAAGGTAACTAGTCATGTTGGTTTCAACACAAATTTCATATTTTTATGTGTCTCAATTTTAGAATTATGGGATTAATTCTAAATTCATCAACCATTTAAATGCATTTAGATTTACATGTCCTAACCTAATATGCCGTAAATTAGAGCGGGTATAAACAGAAATAGTTTTTTCATTATCATTGAAAACGATTACACAGCTCACGGTCATTACATACATTTTGAACAAACCCTTATCGAGATATCCACGACCAAGGAATGTTTTAAAATTGCTAACAACAAACTTCTTAGCATCAAAGACGCCTAAATTCATGCTCGAGATCCATAGACCAAATTTTTGCGGATGTCTAGGACATGTAGAACATCCTTAAGTATCAACTCCTTTCCAGAAGTTAACTTTACCACCACAGTGGCAGCTCCAACCACATCAGTTCGACTAACGCCTAGCTCCTAGAGCGCCTAGGTGGGGCTTAGCCGCTGCCTAGCCAATTTTTTTGACTGATTTATGTAAATCGAAGGCGGCCGAGCACCGCCTAGCGCCTAGGTGCCGCCTAGGCCCTTTTTTAGAATACTATCATTCTTAATTAGTTGTGAAATAAATATTTATATAATACCGAAATATATATGCTATCAAAATAAAAACAAAAATATTTTGTATTTTAGGACATAAAAAGGCGTTATAGAAATGGGCACCATAAAAAATGGGACATGTCAAAATAAATTGTTTAACTGAAAGTTGCATATTTTTATTAAATGGTGAACATATTTTTATTAAATGAACTACTATTATTATTAATTGGTGGCTAAATAAAATTTATTGAAACTTGTCAGCTGTTTATTGTGTTTTTGTGCTTATTTTCGTGTATTTTCCGTGCTTGAATTGAGTCTTTTTAGGTTCATTTTTAGTGTCGACCGGTCCATTTTAGGTTGATTTTTCGGGCCTTTATTATGGTATTCACTACTTGATAAATGTTTTTGTTTATAAAAATTTTAAAAAAAATTCTTACATTTTAACTCAACAATTTTTTTAACTCAACTTTAACTCATCCCTACTATCATCAATATAATTAAATAATATCAATCAATCATTCATACACACCACAACCACCCTAATTCACTATTCATCCACTCACATTATTTTAACTTACTATCACTTCAAATCATCTTTCTCCTACTTTTACATCAAATCAATTTAAATTATTTTATTTTAAATATTATTTTAATATATCCACTAACAACTAACCATACCACTTTTTTCAAAATTAACCACACCAATCCAAATTAACCATTCCTAATCGCCTGGCCGTCGAGCCTGCCAAGTCTGCATAGGAGCGCCTATGGCTGCCTAGGCGCCGCCTAGCCGATTTTTTTGACCGATTTATGTAAATCGAAGGCGGGCGAGCACCGCCTAGTGCCTAGGTGCCGCCTAGGACCTTTTTCAGAACACTGTCATTCTTAATTATTTGTAAAATATATATTTATATAATACCGAAATATATATGGTATCAAAATAAAAACAAAAATATTTTGTATTTTAGGACATAAAAAGGCGTTATAGAAATGGGCACCATAAAAAATGGGACATGCCAAAATAAATTGTTTAACTGAAAGTTGCAAATTTTTATTAAATGGTGAACATATTTTTATTAAATGAACACCTATTTTTTAAATGAACTACTATTATTGTTAATTGGTGGCTAAATAAAATTTATTGAAACTTGTCAGTTGTTTATTGTGTTTTTGTGTTTATTTTTATGTGTTTTACATGCTTGAGTTGAGTCTTTTTAGGTTCATTTTTAGTGTCAACCGGTCCATTTTAGGTTGATTTTTCTGGCCTTTATCATGGTATTCACTACTTGATAAATGTTTTTGTTTATAAAAATTTTAAAAAAATTCTTACATTTTAACTCAACAATTTTTTTAACTCAACTTTAACTCATCCCCACTAACATCAATATAATTAAATAATATCAATCAATCATTCATACACACCACAACCACCTTAAGTCACTATTCATTCATTCACATTATTTTAACTAACTATCACTTCAAATCATCTTTCTCCTACTTTTACATCAAATCAATTTTAATTATTTTAGTTTAAATATTATTTTAATATATCCACTAATAATTAACCATACCACTTTTTTCAAAATTAACTAAACCAAACCAAAAAAAATTAAACAAAACCAAAAATTTCTATAAACAAACATGCTCTTAGACTCTTAGCTTTTGTTGGTGAATTAAGGATTTGTCCTTGTGTGGCCTCCAGCAGCAGTATTTCGATCCTCCTGAAGTAATTCATGTATTTCCAGTGGAAGCTAATAACCATCAAGCAGATTTTTGTTGCATAATAAATTTCCCCTATTGGAATTTATGATTGTGATGCGTTGTTTTGTTTGTCGTTGTCAGCTGAAATAAAACGAAGTGAAAAATGTGTTCCCATGAAGCACCAGTTGTTAACTAGAAAAACTCCCATACCTATTTTCAACTTGCTCATGATCACAACTATATATAGTCAGATATTGTAAAACCAAAAACATCAGACAATTCACCTGATTTATAGGCGGCAAAATTACATTTTGTGCTCAGTAATTATGCGTGTGTGACAAATGTGGACAGCTTCTTTTTGGTTTGGCAAAAGTGCCCTGAAACTTGTTAAAACCCGGAATTCGTGTCCAATTTACCTACAAGTTACCGGATTTGACCGGTTTTTCGTGTGGCAAAACAGGACAGTAACTTGTTAAAATTCAAAATTTGTGCCCAAATTGGACAGTTTTAACAAGTTGCAGGGCACTTTTGTCAAACCAAAAAGAAGTTGTCCACATTTGCCACACACCCCTAGTTACAGGGCATAAAATGCAATTTTGCCTTTATAGGTTGCGTGCGGGCATGTCGGGTAACGTCAATCGTAAAAGTTAATAGTTTACTTTTAAAATCCCGGTTATCTTATATATGCCAAATTTATTATAAAATAATAAATTATTTCATAATGTGAATGATACATTATTTTGAATTTTGATGTTATTTCATAACGATCGAATAAATTGTGCACGATCGTGTTAGACAAATTGCTCACAGGGACGGATCCATAAATTAGGAGTAGACTGGGCTAAAATTTTAATAACTCATTTTCATAAAGTTCACATAATATTTTTTCTTTAAATATTCACTGAAGTTGTGCTCGACGAACGTTTACAGAATAAAATTCATTATGTTCAATTTGCACCATATTTGATGTGTTTTCACTAATTTGTCTATCTCGTTTCTGAAGAACGGTGATATCAATGGGGTTTTTCATTTATTGGTCGAAGATTAGTGCTTCATGTGAATTTTTAAAAAATCCACAGTACCTATAAATTGATTTTCCATATGGCATAGTTATTAGCAAAATGAAATGGTTGCACACCATGACTTTAAATCCAAATATGATATACAACAATCACACTAGAGGATAAAAGATGAAAAAAAATAAAAAACACAATTACTACTTCATACACAATTAACAAAATAAAAATTGCATCCAAATAATCTCAACAATTACTGTTAAAACCCAAAATAGCTCAACTAAAATGAAAAGATAAATAAAGACAAATAGACAAATGAAACAAATATCAAATAGGAGTTTAAAAACATAACTTACTATTAAAGAAGAAATTAAATCGCCTTCTTGAAAATAGTCTCTTTTCTTGTTGAATAATTTTTTTTGTCCTTCTAAATTAATTGTTCTCGTGTTCGGAGGAGGGGCATAGCCACGACTGATTTATGTGATTGGAGTTTAGTATATAGAGGTGTTTTGTCTGTTATTGCCTATTGGGAAGGGTGGATCAACATATATAATATTTTATTTAAGTGGTGTTGATAGTCTTTAACTTAAATAGATAAGTAAATTATATTGGTGAGTTAGTGGGTTGATTTATTAAGTTGGGCTAGAAACACAATAATTTGCTTTTAAACTTATAGTTGTTAAAAATAAAAAATAATAGACATGGGCTTCAGCCCAACCCAGGCCCAATATACATTCGTCCATGATTGCACATTAACGACCGACATATTGCACAATAGTGATTGAAGTCGACCAAAATAAATAATCGGTCCGGATTTTTATATGTATGTTCGATTATTAGTTTTTACTTTTAAAATTTAGGATATTCTTTGTTTGATTTCTGCTTTATCTATAAACTAACTTTTATATTTTTATATAAATATAATATTTATTTTGAGTAAAATATATTTATAATTATTAAACAAATATATTAAAATAAAAAATATATTTTTATAATATAAATTATAATTTACTTCGGTTATTTTGATTAACTCGGTTAACGGAGCGAATGAACCAAGTATTTTGACTCGGTTTTAATTCAATTTGGTACAACAGTTCTGTCGGTTCAGCTTTTCCAAATGTTCGAGTCGATTATTTCAATTTTAACATTTCGATCGATATGTTTAGCCGAACCAATGGATGAACAATATTGTGCAATATGCAGCGTGTTGATAAATTTATAATTTTTTGAATTTTTTATGTGCATATACACACACGATAATGTGCAAGTTAGTTTTCATTATTGTACGATGCACTAAATAGCAATGTGCAATCCTGTGAATAATAATTTCCAATTAATAAAGTTTTGATAAATTTAACATTTAACCTATAAATTAAATTTGTAATATATTTAACTTTATTAAATTACAATTAAGTCCTTAGGACTTATCAAATTTTTAATTGGAGGCCCAAATTACTAATCCTAAATCTACATTTACAGGCCATATCCCAGACATCCATCCAACATCTTCCATACTGTTGAAACCCTCCTTCGACAAGGAGGAAAAGTTGTGATCGAATCTCGTCCGCCACTTACGCACCGCCACCGCCGGCGCAGGCGAAAGCCATCTGAGGAGACGACGAGATGGAAAGTGATAGGTCAAAAAATGTGCACGTTTATAAATTTAAATATTTAATAGTGTATTTTTATATGGTTAATTTAATCGCACGTTTGTACTTATCGACTTATTTATTTTTTAGATGGATTCATTTGATTTGATTATTTTATATTTATTTTCAATAATTTTGAGTATTTTGTGAACGAGAGCTTTGGACGAGATTTCACACGAGGAATTTTAAAGCGTCCAATACCTGTCCGTTATTTCGTCCCAACATCTGCCAATATTCGGGCCCAAGAAAGACATAATTTCAGGCCCAAAGTGAATTGATGAGCTAGTGGTTAATTGNAGGGGGGATTTATTTGATGTGGGATATTCAAGAAATGATTTTAGTTTTATTTGATATTTATATTTCTAGCCAAGCATTTTTATTGGAGGAAAAAAAAAAGAGACTCCCTCACACACGCATCATATCGGCAACAAGGATTTATTTGCGGTGAGCGACAGAAATAAAAAAAGGCCGGATACAGAGAAAACAAAAAAAGCCGAGCAGAAAGAGTAGCAGATAGAGAGCACACATACGCCGAGGGAAACCGCACTTGCATACGAGGGTGATAATTAATCTCTCTGTTTTATCTATCTTTATTTTTATTAATATGTTAGGCTAGTATTTTTATCCAATTTTAGGGGATGTTTGAACTCTAATTTCGATTTGTCTATGAATTGGATGATCTCTATTTATCGTTAGTTCATTGAGACGTCGTATTTTTTTTGTCGATGAGTTGATTCTTGTTATCTGTGTATCGTGTTTATGAATTATGGGTGTTTGGTTGTGGTCGACGGGTACCTTATCTATTCTGGCGGGTCGTGACTGTTTCTATTGGTCTGGGAGGGGCGGATGGGCTTGGAACTGACACTTCCACCTTTTCCGGCTATGTCTCGCGTATTGAGTGTTTGTCCAGCTTCCGGATGCGCTGAGGTTTCGGTGATTTCGGGTTGGTTCTGCACTCGGCTTGTGGTGTTTGCTGGATTGGGGATGAGTGTGGTTTCTGTGGTTGGAGTGAAGGTCTGCTATTGAGAGTGTTTCGGGGCTTGGGTCTCCGTGTTCGCTAGGCCTTAGGCAGTGGAGAGCGGGGATCCTGTGCTTTGAATTAATCCTGTAGTAGGCTTGTTCGATGGCAATCTTGGAGGTCTCTGCTGAGGGAGGGATGTTAATTAGTTGTAGCTTGTTTAGGTTTTTTTCTGTTTCTGGGTAGGTTGTGTTGTTCTCTTTGTTGTCTCGTGTTTTTGGTCTAGGCCGTTTGGCCTCTGTGAACCCGAGTGTCACCTTATTATCCCATTGGGATCCGACACTTGGGAATTACTCTGTTGGGGTCTTTTTAGTTGTTGTTTTTGTTGTTGTTTGTTGTTGTTAGTTGTTGTTAGTTGGTTAGTCGTAGTTGCGAGTTTTATTCTAGCATTGCTAGTCGGGACTCTAGGCGGTCTTCTGACCTGTCCTCCCACTTTTTTCAGCTGTTGGCTGCTGTGTATTCAGTCGTTGGCTGCTGTGTATTCGCACATTTGTGCATTTTGATTTATAATATAATCTATCATTTTGAAAAAAGAATTATGGGTGTTTGATTTAGTTTGGCCAGCTACATTGAATATTCATAGTTTAATTGCTAGGGGCGAGGCTTTAATCCGTAATTGTTATTGTTCTCGTTTCGTTAGTAGTAAACTAGGGGTCGTGGTAGCGTGAACATAAGTTAAATGGTCCGAGCTTTTGCGTCTGTTGCTTAGATTGATCTATTTTCTTAAACATTAATTCTGCTAGTACACTAAATCTAGAGAGCTTATTCTAGGTTGTCCACTTGTTAGGTTTAGTCGTAGATTATTTCGATTAAATATTCGGTAAGGGAAAATTCAGTTAACAGAGCTTGTTGTTAGCTAGGGTCGGTAATTCATTAGCAATTTAAAGAAAGCGTCGAAATTAATTAACGGTAGATTTGGATAGGGTGATAACTGAACCGAAAACTGGACTTCTCTTATTTTGTTATTTTTATTTTTATTAAACCAATCCCCCACTCTTTTACTGTTTTCTTACTTGAGTTCAATTCATACAAAATTGTCACAACTTAGTTCCTACTCCTCGTGGGATCGACCCTTACTCGCCCACTACTACTAGTTAGTAGAGGTTTGTCGAGGAAAATTATAAATATAAATTTGCCGCGTTGCAACGCGCGGTCAGAAAATAAGATGACAAGCTCCGCGGAATCGCAGGCCCTTGATGTCGGAGGAGGTATTGATGGAAAACCGTCGTCTGGTCAGTAGCTACAGATTTTGTGCTAGTCGGTGTCGGATTTGGCCGCTTTCGAGCTCCGTTCAATGGCCATCAACATCAATCAATCGACTGACGGCGGTGACGATGCGGGTGGTTGGAAGGAGGTGGCTGGCGACACTAACCGGCGAATTTGAGTACGTAACGGCAGTAAGAAGGTTGGCCGGTGACCAACTGGCGGATGTGTGTGTGTGTGTGATTGTGCGTGTTCGTCTATTTTGTGTGTGTGTGTGTGTGTGTGTGTGAAACTGAGTGTGTATTTGTGTGTGAGAGATGGGAGGTTGTTGGGATTGATGGGGCCCATGAATAATTATGTAATTACTTATATGTCCTTAGTTAGTCTTCAAAATTGTACATTTGACCAAGGTATATTTATTTACGACATTGTCATTAACTGATTTATTGACCATTATTGATTAAAATTGACTTCATCTTGACCATTGATATGATGAATCTAATGGTACAAATTTATTCTTATTTCTTTCATTATCCTCCTGATCTCATCTCTATATATATATGTATATCCTAATCTTGGAATAAGCTACAAATCTACCGAACACACACATAAATGTTTATGCTATAGTCGGGAGAACAAACCCGTGAGTGAGAAGCGACAATAATGGCACGCAAGCAAAGTGTAGAAAGAAACCAACAAAATCAATAATGTAACTATGCGAGGTTAAGATCCTATCCCACGGGCTGGACTTTTATAATTTACTCATATCTTTTTTTCTTTTTTAGTTTAATTACTTATTTGTACAAAATCACACGGTTATTAGTAATCTTGTAAGTAATTGACAGTCTTCACTTTATCATGAATATCTCCAATTATTGGGAAAAGTAATGTATTTTTATTTTTTTTTTCCAACGATAACAAATAACATTGCCAAACTCATAAAGTCTTACAACCGATGGACCAACTAGTCCTTAGACAATAAGCAAGCATTAACTAATACAAGCCTAGTCCAAACCGGCACTGTAACACACTACAGCCCATCAACCGCGTTCAAAGCAATCTCATGACTAAAAAGACAAGAACCAAGATCAAAGACAAAGGTACAATGAAGAATAGACTCAGCCACATTAATAATGTCAGCAATCAGATTTAAATTAATATCACTTGGTAGAGAGTTCCCCTTCAGCAACCTGTAGATTTGAAGCTCAGAGACACAACACACCACATTAGTAATGTGCTGGGATGTATTATGAGGAAGCGTAATGTATACAAGCTGTATTATGAGGATTTTTGGGCTCAACAGGCATGAGAAGAAAAAGGTTTAAATTGTATTCTATGAAGAAAATTACTCTAAATTGCAAAGATAAAATGTATAGTACATGAAGCAAATTTTTTTTCTCCCCAATAATTTTGTGCTCCTAATTGACACATTATTTTAAAATTCCCTGTCTAGACTTGTATAATCCTGTCCAAATACTAAAATCTCCTTGACAACCTATGTTTTTCTTTAAATTGCTCTCCATTTTTTATTTTTTTTTTTTCATTTCAGGTCTAGTCCAGATTGATTTGTAGAAAAAATAAAAAACATTAAATTTGGCAGTAGACTACCACTGGAAAAGACAAATGACAATCACATGTTGCACTCTAGTGGCCTAAACATATCCATTTGAGACTATTTTTTCTGCATTACAGAGTAGAATCTTCAGCCGCAGTTTTCATACTTAATAAACATGACAAACAACACATCCACACACACAATGGCACCTCCAATCTGATGAGGGGATAAATAGTCTGCTAATTACCATTTTGCCCCTGGCCACTCACATGACTGACAAGGAGCATTATTTTTTTTCAGTCCAAGTGTGTATATTTAATTACTTGGGTATATGGTGATACTGTGAGAGTTTATATAAGTTTTCCTTTGTGCAAAGCTTCATAAGACAGGAACAAATTAAAATAATCTGAAAAGATGGAGAAGGTGAGAAAATTCAGTGTGTTGGTAATTTTGGCAGTCGGACTAATGGTGACTGGGAAGTCGAGTGCGGCCTTCAAAGACTGCTACATGAAATGCTTCTTCACGTGCATGATCGAGCCTTCTCAAACACTTTGTTCGTGCACCACCAACTGCTTGAAAGACTGCATCTTTCAACAATCTCAGAATGATGTTCGTGAACGAGATTCGGATGGCCTCGGCTACTGTAAGCTCGGCTGCGCTATTTCTATGTGCTCGGGTTTCAGCACAAGACATGCTCCAAGTCAGTGAAAGCTTCTCTTTCTTGCTCGAATTCCTATCTATTTCTTTTTTTTCTAGAAATAAAAATAAATTAATTTATCTGTTTCTTTATGTGTGTGTGTGTGTGTGTGCAGATGGCGAAAAAGTTGATGGCTGTGTGGGATCGTGCTCCAACAAATGTGTCAAGGCTACTCATTACCTTAGAACAGTACTTGATTTTTCTGGCCTTTATTATGTTATTCACTACTTGATAAATTTTTCTGGCCTTTGATAAATGTTTAGCTAGCTTTTGTTGGTGATTTAATGATTTGTCCTTGTGTGCCCTCCAGCAGCAGTATTTCGATCCTCCTTAAGTAATTCATGTATTTTCAGTGGAAGTTAAGAACCATCAAGCAGATTTATGTTGATAAATAAATTTCCCACGTTGGAATATGTGATTGTGATGCGTTGTTTTGTTTGTCGCTACCGCTGAATTAAAAGTAAAACAAGGTGAAAAATGTACTCATGAAGAACCAGTTGTTTACCAGACAATCTCGTACCTATTTGCAACTTTCTCATGATTAAACCATCACAACTATAGACAGATATTGTAAAACCAAAAACATCACAGACGATTCACCTGCTTTATACCCCTTATAACTGCCACAATAATTCAAAAATATCGAAGGCAGCATGTCTCAAAGCATAACACATTATAAGCTCCAAAATCACATTACATCATCGGTAATCTAAATATAATCGACACAACAAAAACAACAGTAGACTTAAAGACTCAAGTCTTTAGCCTTTTTTATGTCGGATTGTAACATGGCATCCATCACTCGATTAAACTCACTACTTCATTTCCCATAAAAAAGAAGACAAGGAAAATTTGAGACACAGAAAGAGAAAATATGAAACCTTTTTCAGGTCCACAACAGACCCACAGAGGGGTTCAAAGTTAGCAGACCTCCCATAACTATCTTCCCTTCACCTTCCTCGCCCAATATTTCAAAACATAAGTATCATTTTACTCTGCCTTCGGAGAATTTTCAGGGGTTTTCAAACCCACCACATCACTACTCTTACTACCTTTGTGCTCCATAACAGCAGCTTTAAAATCCTCAGCAATCGGGACATCCCTAAACTTCAAAGCAATTGTAGAAAGACCATCCTTGCCCTCAGCAGCACTATTGACACACGCGAAAGTGACCCCTTTCTTGTCCATATTCGTCAGCTTCATGTCCGGGAAAAGACTCGCGTTCAGAATCAGCCTGAAATTCCCCCGGGCCCGCATTACAAGTCGGGCCTTCCCGGGCCCGGAAGTTGAAACGTTCACCTTGAGTTCCCCTTTCCCGCGCTCCTTCCAGCCTCCATCGATATACTCAAACAAAATGGAGTCGGCCGTGAAAACAGCATTTTCATTCTCTTCGCCAGTCTCCACAGAAACCTCTTGCATGGGAGGGAACTTACTGTCTTCTTTCTTGCTCACGGCATTCGCCACAGAGGAGTTACCAAAAATAGAAGGCGTTTCGGTGTTGGAAGAACTAAACGCACCAAAAAGAGAATTGGTGCCGCCGTCTTTGGAGAGCAGCCCGAAGGAGAACGAAGTGCTGGAAAATCCCGTCCCTGAGAGCCCTGAGAAGGCATTTTGGCCGCTCGACAGCTGCTGAAATGAGCTGAAAGAGGCAGCCTCTGTATTCTTTTTAGCATTTTCATCACCATTTTCCTTGTTCTCATCATTTTCACAATCTTTCACGTCATCACTAGCAATAACCTCGTTTTCCTTGTCATTACTTCCTGCATCAATCTTAGCCTCACCTTCGACCGGAGTTTTGGATGTGCCGTCACTTTCATCCTTGTCAGCATTATTTGGTTCGGCTTTCGAGCCGTCATCGGCTTCTCCCTCAGATTGTTTATCGGCCTTGTCACTGCTGACATCAGCTTTCTCCTCATCCGCATTAGATTTTTCGCCTTCGGGCTCATCGGCCTTGCTTTCAGTTTTGAGTTCATCAGCAGAAGAGGGAGGAGGAACTAACCGGATGGCAGCAAATGGGTTGGAAGAGGGCGGGGCAGGGGCTGATGTGGCAGATGAGGACGGCGTCTGCTGGCGGCGTACTTTGACGATCCTTCTAGTGGCCAAAACCTCCTCACTCGCCTTTTTGAAAGTGTTGCCTGCCTCCAGTCCAGACGAGTTATCATTTTCCTCGTCGAGTTCGGGGTTATCACGAGTGAGTTGAACTCCGGCAGCCCTCTTCTTGGAAGGTTGGAAGCTTTCTGCATCCCCCATGACGAAATGAAGTTGGAATGGCAGATGGAGGAGTTTCTACGTCAAGTCTCACAGGGAATCAGCAGCAGTCAATCAGTCAGTCACTGGATCAAACCACAGGAAAAAAAAAAAGTAAGGAAAAACATTAGAGGGAGTGTACTGAGTATGGTAAGCCTGCTTGTGGTGAGATATGCTATACCACTAAATATTCTAATTTTTATATTTGATTCATTGTATAAGAAGTGGGTGGCGTCAAACAAATGAATTGAACTTTATTCTACCAAGTTTCGATAAAAAATACCAATATATACAAGAAGGCATATGGAATTAGGTTATTATTAAAATGGCATCCATTTTGAGGAAAATTGAAGAGATGTTTTCAAAGAGTATATCAGATGCCTGTTGGATGTTAAAGTGAAACACATTGGTATCGTGGATGAAAAGCGGAGAAAGCATACATCTAAAGAAAATTACTAGCTTGGTTATTTTAAAAGTTAACTGATTCACGTTCCAATGAAATTGGTTCATATTTGTTAAGAAGATGACAGCAGTCCGTTTTCATATTTCAGAAAGTGTGATCAAATCACCAGTAAAGATACATTTGTGAGCACGATACTAGTAACACTTTTTTTTACATTTTCAGGAAAATTTTAGAAAGATGAATTGAACATAAAGCACCACTTGACTAACCCAGTATGGATGACGTAACGATACCAAGGAAGAAAGAATAATGACGTGCATGCAGTTGAGCTACCAAACAAATCCAACCAAAGTTTTTTATTTCTTTTACCATCTTTTCCTTTAACTCCTCTATTGAAATCATATCGATTAATACTAAAAGCAGTGTTATTAATGGCGGATGGCAGTACATGGCAGCAGGGAAAAATCTCGCCATAGCGACAGCCGTGCGGTCTATGGCGCCGCCATAACCGCCATCCTTCATAAATTTTGCATGGCGGTTTGGCAGAAATCCACCACGCCATTGCCGCCATCTGACAACACTGACTAAAAGTTGATTGGTTTTCTATTCAAAAGAAAACAGTTCACAAAATAATCAATGAGGTGATTTCATATACAATATATTTGGTAAATGGAATGAACAATACTTATCAACTTGCCCTAGTACCTACAAGTATCTGAAACAAGATGCTTAATAATATCTATTCACCTTTAAGCTGCATGTGATCTTGTTTGCAGGTACGTTATATTTACACTTCTACAACCATAGAACTTAGAGGGCTGAATGTAAATGGGAAGTAAGCTTTTTGCAAGGTTTGAGGAATAAATGCAACGGCCATTGGACCACTATGAACCAGAGTAGTTCAACATTTTGAGTCAACAAATCACTAGAAACATAAAAAGGCATTTGTCTTTATCGTTGTACAGTGACAAATATTCTGATGATATTTTATGGAATCCAATCACAGATGAGAACATTCCAGAAAATCATTCTCTTGTCTGAAAACTACAATATATAAAATATGACTATTATATTCCCAATAGATTGCAATGTATTACACGGAAAAGGCATGTAATTCAGTAAAATCCATCATAAACAAATGTGCACCAAATATTCTTCAATCAACGATACCAAGATCCCCACATAAACCAACACCACAATAAATTATAAAAATCCATTAAATCAAATCCCCTTCATTTTTAGCAAAAGTTTCCCTCGCTGTTTCGTTTCAAAAATGGAACACCAATCCACAATAATGAAACCCAATATTTCATTATCAAACTTCAATCAGTAGAGAATGCAGCTTACTAGGCAATCGAAATTCCAAAAAATAAGGAGTGTGATGAGAATCATTAATTGAAACAAAGGCATAAGGACTCTTCATAGTCACTTCAGGTACGAATGCCAAATTCTCTCAATTCACAAAACGAATTCTGAAAAGACAAACCTAAATTCCCGAAATAACACCACAGAAGCTGAAAACCACCAAACGCTCAATAGATGTAGAGGTTGATAGAACTTACAATTAAAGCTGCATACATAATTTAAAAAAACACCATAATCGCACCAAATGGATGAATATTCAAAAACAGCACGAGAGAAATTAACGCATACCTGGGAGAATCTTAAATATTTTGGCTTTAGCTTTAATGTTTGGAGCTCTTCAGACGTTTCCTTTTTAATGGTGTTGTTGGATCTGCTAAAACCCTAACCCTACGAAAGAGGGGAGAGTGATGAAGTTCGACTGCGTGAGAAAATTTATATACTGCTGTAGCTGTACGGTAAAGGCTTTTTATTCTCTCATTTTTCCACTTTTCTGCTATTATTTTCCGCTATATTTCTTTAAATCCACATGATGTCGTGTTTGTTTAAAAATTAATCTGCTCAATATGAGGTTTTTTAATTAATTTGAATTAATTTTAAAAAATATAGTATAGTTAATTATTAGTGAGATTTTAAGTTTATAATAAAATATAATTTAAATAAAATAATTAAAGTTGATTGGATATAAAAACAAGAGAGAAATGATTATAAAGTGATAGTTAATTAAAATTATGTAGGTAGATGAATAGTGAATTAAAATTGATGTGATATATAAGAACGATTGGTTTATATTATTTAATTATATAAATAATATTAAAGATAATAAAATTAAGTTTAATTTTGAATATTGATTAAATTTAAATGTGAGTGAATTTTTTATACACAAGCACCCACTAAATAGAATACGGTACGATTTTGGGATAATTAGTCCATTAAAATAAATCTCATTTGGATGAGAGAAATGCTTGGCTATAAGAATTTTTTGTTTTGTTTGAATAT